ACACAACTGTATGAGAAAGTTATGTTTTTAACTGTAAGTGTTGGCTGGAATGATTTTATGAAATACTTGCGCTATTTCATTACAACAAGTGTCCAGATGTTAATTCAATCTCGTATTCCTTATTGATGACACCAGAAATTATTGTTGAAATATTCAAACTTTTTGTTTTTTTACACAGTTTCTTTCCGGTCTAACAGATGTAATTTTCGTGACAGTTGTAACCTATTAGTCAGTTTCAGGTTTATAATAAGTTCGTGTTAGTATTTCGTAACTTAGGGGTGGTTTTTAGCTACTTTACATGTGCTCCACTGCTAAACTCCATCATATCTTCCATTCTTCTCATCAACATTTCACAATCTTTATTTATATATATTTTTTAGCTCTCTTTCTGTACTCGACTGTGAATGTTTTTCTCCAGTTATAAGGTCTGTCGGATTTTGACTATGTTTTAACTAGGGATGCAGGGGTCGTAAAATTTGGTCGAATAACGGGACCGGTACCCGGTCACTAAGCATTGGATGGGGCCAGGTGTCAATTGGTACCTGGTTCTCCCGTCTCCTCCCCCCCCAAAAAAAACACACCAACATACACAAAAATTAGAAACAAAAACAAAATTGATGTTTATTACATTTAACCGAATAATCACAAAGAGAACATTCAAGTTTTATTTTCAACCTTCAATGCCTAGCCCCAACTTCTCAAAACCTAACGCCTATTAATGGTTGGAGACGGCTTGATACCTCATGATGACAAAACCTTGTCGAAACGTTGTACATTTGCTGTTATATTTTAAACTTATATTAAAGTTTTTCTTCATTATCCATTCAAGCCATCTCCAACCATTATTAGTCTCAAAGTGGGTTCCTGGTCATCGAATTTAAATTCACCACTAACGCCTGTTGTTCTCTAAACCCCCACCTTCCCAGAAATCCACCTCTCAAGCCATGCCTGTTATTAACCCCTATTGTTCTCTGAATCCCCGACTTTCAGCGGGAGGTCAGCTTTTGTTGCTCGGAACACTTTTTATTATTATTACTATTATAACTAATCCAATTATTGACTGTAACTTTCAGTACAGCGTTTGTTGCCACAACGATTAGGGCATAGAATAACTTTAACATTGGGCCGGTTCCTAGTATTACCGGGTAGTCCAATACCCGGCCGGTGCTGAATATTTGGCCAACACAATGGGCTATCTGTGCTCTTCCCACCACGGGTATCGAAACCCGGTTTTTAGCGTTGTAAATCCGCAGACATACCGCTGTGCCACTGGGGGGCCTATATTAGAGCAACTAATGTTTTTGCAACCTCAAACTGTCTCACGAAAGGAACTTCAAAATTGTTCAAAATTTTGTTTATATACTACCAAAAAAACAACCTTGTTGCTCTTCTGTTCACTACTTGTAAAACTGCACTGTTCATTACAAAAGGTGTCCAGATGTCCTTTCACTGTAATATTACATGTTGATTGATCCCAAATTTGTCATCGATGAATGTATACTCTCTCATAATTTTCTTCTTAGCACAAACACAGCAAATTCTATTAATTACCATACACAATCTACATTCATACTAATGTTAAAACTAGGGATGCACGGGTAAGCTTTGTGCTTAATTCCAAACAAACAAACAATAACTCCATTTAACCCATGTTTTTACTTAAACATTCACCTTAAATGACTAAAATTAGCTGAGGTTAGTTATTAAGGCAACATTTTCTCAAATTTTATCTCGTAAAAGAATTGTTAAAATATTCATGTTTTAAAGAATTATTTAGTAGTGAACTTAAAAGTATTTCTTGAAAGTGTATGATAATTTTTATTCAATAAGCGCTTTTTTCGATTGGTGTGACAAACATAACTGTAAAATACGAACATGGAATTTTATAAAACAATCTTTATGTTGAGAAATGTCGTATCGGAAGGTTCAATGTCCTCCATTGACCTGGTGGGAATGTTCCAGTAATTGTCTCCAGTGAGAGAGGTGGGTGGTACCTGTTGAGCCTTCTAACATTGTGGAATAGTGTTTGAAATATCTTGTGGTTCTATAAGAAAAACAGTGTTATTGATTTTTATCTACTCTCTTGTCTAAGGATATGTGTGTGTATTTAAAGCCATTTCTGCAGTATATTTATCGACATGCAGCTTTCAGAACGAAAGTGGTGATAAACGTAATGTAACAAAAATGTATTACGCATTCAGGCAGTAAAAGAACCAGAACATCTGCTGATAAAGCTGAAGTGTTTGAAAGTCATTTAAAGAATTTTTCTGTTACCCACCATTGTTTTATGTTTAACTAGCTGAGGGTACCGTTAAGGAAGCAAAAATTATGCAAAGGACAATCTTAAGTAATGACGTCATTAGATATTAAGTACATACCCTGCTTTGTGAAAGGTAATAATTGACTAATTTAACTGATTAAACACTTGTTTTTTAACGTTCAAAGCCTATAAAAAAGTAGAAATGTGTCTTATTTCAGGGGCTTTTTAAACACCCTTTTCGAACAAAATAGTCCATGTAAACGGTCATACAGTTTCCAGTTACCCGGTGGGACAGAGGTCTACGGACTTACAACGCTAAAATCTGATGTTTGATTGCCCGCGGTGAACACGGTAGATAGCTCAATGTGGCTTTACTCTAAAATATACAAAAACCATACCAAAATTGCAGTAAACGAGCGAGCCAACCCTGGGTGATGGTTGCTAATACACATAATGGATTATCTTTATCGTAAGTTATAACCTTTTTAAAAGAACTTAACGGCTTTTCCCAAAACCATATTAATCTTTCTAGCCCTACTTTTCTGTTTATATTTAGTAATTTCGCTACGATTCAAGTTTCGAATCCTTCAAGTTAAAATACCAGACGCTCAGTAAACCATATAAGAAAAAATATATATATCGGAAGATGGAAACATTCAAGTACAAGATGATTTTGACTTTGCCCATCTCACTCTAACATACAACTTAGCGCTTATATCTGGTTATATTACTACCAAGATAAGAGATTCAGGGTATCGTTTGCACAAAATCCTCGGAGAAGAATAGTCGACCATAGATATGAGCAGTAACTGTCTTGCCAGTATTCTTAGTTGTATTGGTACACAGAAGGTATATTAAAATCATATGAAACTGCCTTTAATAACGCCAAACTGATTAGGCGTTAGAACCAATGTTTCCTAACCAATATGCTTCTCAAGAAATACAGGGTGGCCCAAATTTATCTTTCACATTTTAGGATTTAATAGATAACCAACGGAACACAACCATGCGGTTTTCAACATCTTGTAGCCAAATTCAAACAGTTTTTATTATCATGTTTTCTTGTTGTTTTTTCACTCCAGTAAATAGTATTATCCCGTAAAATGGCAATCGTGCAAGAAAAGGCTCAATGCGTCTTTTTGACCTGAACAGAGCAAGTGGTGTAGCGTAATTACAGACGCGAGTACAGAAAAGAGTATGGGGGTATGTTAAAGATATCGTGTATCGCACACCTATAGCAAACATCACGAAGCTAAAGACCACGACGTCATCACCAGTGTAACTGTGGGCACGTTGCAGCGAACGTGGACTGAAATCGAGTATTGGTTGTGCGTACTGACAGCCACTAATGGTGCACACGTAGAAGTCCATTGATATGTCAATAAAAACTGTTTGAGCTGAGTTACAAGATGTTGAAAACTGCATGGTTGTATTTCCTTAGTTAATTATTAAAATTTAAAATAGGAGATATAATTTTGGACCACCCTGTATTCATTAAAGGTTTCAATACAGAACAATCTATAACAGCTTTCTCGACAGAAATTTAAAAAGCCTCTCGAAGTATTTGAGGCAGTGACCTTTAGCTTTCTGACGTCCTATGCGGGAATTAAAAGACACCAGTCATTGTAAATGGTATAAAATTTATTTTTTTCATTACAGGATGGATTTATTAGTCCATTATTATTTTG